GATAATTTTTCATAGAAATGTCTTATAACTGCTTGTATTTCTGTGGTGTCAGTTGTAACTCTTTCTCTTTATGATTTTGATTCTGCTCTCTTTTCTTGATGAGTCTAGCTAAAGGTTTATCAATCTTGTTTATCTTTTTAAAGAAGCAGCTCTTAATTTCATTGATCCTTTGTATTTTTTTTAGTCTCTCTTTCATTTATTTCCATTCTGATCTTTATTATTTGCTTCCTTCCACTAACTTCGGGCTGTTTATTATTCCTTTTCTAGTTCCTAAGGTGTAGGGTTAAACAGTTTGAGATTTTTCTTTTTTCTTGAGGAAGGCCTATAACACTATAAACTTCCCTCTTAGAACAGCTTTTGCTGCATCTCAAAGATTTTGCATTGTTGTATTTCTATTTTCATTATTATCCAAGTATTCTTTTATTTCCTTTTTAATTTCTTTGTTGATTCACTGTCTTGTTTAGTAGCATGCTGTTGAGCCTCCACATGTTTGTGTTTTTTCCAGTTTTCTTCCTGTAATTGATTTCCAATTTCATACTGTTGTGGTCAGAAAAGACACCTGATATGAGTTCAGTCTTTCTAAATTTCTGAAGACTTGTTTTTGTGCCCTAACATTCCTGGAGAATGTTCTGTGTGCACTTGAAAAGAATGAGTATTCTGCCATTTTTCTTTTTCTTTTTTTTTTTTGCTTATCCCAACTAGTGTAGTTACTATCTGTCAACATAGAAAGATATTGCAGAATTATTGGCTATATCCTCTGTGGTGTAATTCATCCCCAAGACTAATTTATATTACGATTGAAAATTTGTGCCTCTTTATCCCTTTCATCTCTTTCACTTACCCTCTCCAACCCCTCCCTCTTAGTTGCCACCAATCACTTTTTCAGTGTCTCTGCGTCTTTTGCTCTTTTGTTCATTTTTTTTTGTTTTGTTTTGTTTTTATATTCCACAAATAAGTGAAATCATATGGTATTTGTCTTTCTCTGCCTGGCTTATTTCACTTAGCAGAATACCCTGTAGGTCCATCCATGTTGCTGCAAATGGCAGGATTTCTTTCTTTTTTATGGCTAAGTAATATTCTGTTGTATATATGTAGCAAGTCTTCTTTATCCATTTATCTGTTGATGAACGGGTTGCTTCCATTCCTCAGTTATTGTAAATAATGCAGCAGTGAACAGGTGTGCATATATCTTTTTGAATCAGAGATTTTGTTTTCTTCAGGTAAATTCCTAGAAGTGGAATTATTGAATCAAATGGTATTTCTATTTTTGGTTTTTTGAGAAAGTTCCGTACTGCTTTCCATAGTGGCTATACCAATTTACATTCCCACCAACAGAGCCACATCTTCACCAACACTTGTTATTCCTTGTCTTTTGGATAGTGGCCATTCTGACTGGTGTGAAGTGATGCCTCATTGTGATTTTAATTTGCATTTCCCTGATTAGTGATGTGGAACATCTTTTCAATGCCTGTTGGCTATCTCTATGTCTTCTTTGGAAAGATTTCTATTCTGGTTCTCTGCCCATTTTGAGGGTTGTTTTTTTTGGTGTTGAGTCATATGAGTTCTTTATGTATTTTGGATGTTTGCCCTTTATTAGATATATCACTTACAAATATATTCTCCCATACTGTAGGTTGCCTTTTTGTTTTATTGATGGTTTTGAGTATTCTGCTGTTCTTAGATATAATGTTCTGTATATATCTGTTAGGTCCATCTGGCCTAATGTGTTATTCAAATCCACTGTTTCCTTATTGATTATCTGTCTGCCCATTGATGTAAGTGGGTTGTTAAAAATCCCCTAGTATTATTGTATTACTGTCAATTTCTCCTTTCATTTGTATTAATATTTGCTCTATATATTTAGGTGGTCCTCTGTTGGGTGTGTAGATATTTACAGTTGTTATATCTTCTTGCTGGATTGAGCCCTTCTTTGTCTCTTATTAAGTCTTTGCTTTAAAGATTATTTTATCTGATATAAGTATTGCTAATCCAGCTTTTTATTTAATTTCTGTTTGCATGGAATATTTTTTTCCACCCTTCATTTCAGTCAGTGTGTGCCTTTAGGTCTGAAGTGAGTTTCTTGTAGACAGCATGTAGATGGGTCTTATTTTTTTTATCCATTCAGTCACCCTTTGACTTTTGATTGGAGCATTTAGTCCAATTTCTGGTTGTTTTTGTTCTTCTCTGATCCTTTTTTATTTTCCTGCTCTCTTCCCTTGTGCGTAATGACTTTCTTTAGTGTTATGGCTGGACTCCTTCCTGTTTATTTTTTGGTGTCTATTACAGGTTTTTGGTTTGTGGTTACCATGTGGTTTATGTATGACTTCCTACATATATAACATATATGTTAAGTTAATGGTTGCTTAAATTCACATGCATGCTAATGACACTACATTTTTAACTCCCCCTCCATGTTCTTTGTATATGATATCTTCTTTACACCTTTTATTTAGTGATTCCCTTAACTAATTTTTAGAAGTAGTTGATTTTACTACTTTTGTTTTTTAACCTTCATACTAGCTTTGTAGTGATTGGTCTGCTATATTTGTTATCTGATTGCTTTTTCCAATGAAACTTTTTCTTTTTGTGATTTTCTTGCTTCTAGTTATGTCCTTTACTTTTCTTCTTTAAAGACGCTCCTTTAACATTTCTTGTAAGACTGGTTTAATTGTAGTGAATTCCTTTAACCTGTATTTATCTGAGAAGCTCATTGTCTGTCCTTCAATTCTGTTAACCTTGCCTGGGTAGAATATTCTTGCTTAGAGGTCTTTCTCTTTCAGCACTTTGAATATATCATGCCACTCCCTTCTGGCTTGCAGAGTTTCTGCTGAAAAATCAGCTGATAGCCTTATGGGGTCTCGCTTGTAGGTAACTTGTTCCTTTTCTGTCACTGATTTTAAGATTCTTTCTTTGTCTTTGATCTTTCACATTTTAATTATGATGTGTCTTGGTGTGGACCTCCTTGGATTTACCTTGTTTAGGGCTGTCTCTGCTTCCTGTACGTGGATGTCTGCTTCCCTCCCTAGGTTAGAGAAGTTTTCGTCTATTATTTCTTTAAATAAGTTTTCTACCCATTTCTCTCTCTCTTCTCCTTATAGGGCTCCTATAGTGTGAACATTATGACATTTGATGTTGTGTCAGAGCCCCTTAACCTATCGTCATTTCTTTTTTCTATCTTCTATTCTTTTTTCTTTCTACTGTTTAACCTGAGTGCTTTCCATTACTCTGTTTTCCAAATCACTGATTCATTCTGCATCTTCTAATCTGCTGTTGATTCCCTCTAGTGAATTTTTCATTTTGTTTATTGTATTCTTCATCTCTGATTGGTTCTTTTTTTATTTTTCTGTGTCTTGGTTGAGGTTCCCATTGAGTTCATCCACTTTTCTCTCAAATCTGGTGAGCATATGTATAACCACTAATTTAAACTCCTTGTCAGGTAGATTGCTTAACTGTTTCATTTAATTCTTCTTCTGAAGTTTTGTCATGTTATTTTGTTTCATGCATATTCCTTTGTCTCCTCATTTTGTTTGACTTTCTGTATTTGTTTTTGTAGGCTAGGTGAAAGGTCTACCTCTCCCGTTCTTGAACGTGTGGCCTTGTGTAGGAATGTCTCTTTGGTAGACGGCATGTGCCTGGCAGTTTTGGTTGGTGGGCTGGAAGCCATGTGGGTGTGGGCTGGAAGTGTCTTGATTCCAGGGCTCCCAGGGCATGGGCCAGGGGTCTCATATGTGGTTGCCATCCAGGCCCATGTAGTCCAGGGAGTTTCTGGGTGGGCAGAACAGGGCCCCTCTGGCTGGGTGACAGGATGGTGTGGCATGGTCTAGGGGTCTTCTGGATTGGCACCAGTGGGGCCATGCTAATGGGATGGCTGGGGGTGGATGGGTGCAGTGTGGGTCCAGACTGGCACTGGGCTGGGGCCATGTGAATGGGGTGGCCAGGGATGGAGAGGGGGCAGGTGAGGTGAATCTATGTGAGTATTGCACTAGTGCCACTTTGCTGGGAGTGCTGGATCTTGACAGGCATGTGGGCCAGAAGGCCACCTCTGTCATGTCTGAAGATGGTGAGTTCACGCTGAACTTGCTCCTGTCCCCAGTAGCAATATGCAGGGGTAACTTACATGATGTAGCTTACCCTGTTCCTATCCACACTAACAGTGTGTGGGGGAAATGTAAACAAAAACACTCACCCTGCTCCCGTCCATACTAGCAGTGCCAGGGGTGACATAAACAGTGGCACTCACCCTGCTCCTGTCCACATTAGCATTGTCCTTGGGGAATGCAAACAATGGTGCTCACCAGCAGTTCTGGTCCTGCCATTTGGGAGGTGCTTAGGTTCTGAAAATCAGCTTCTTTCAGTTGTAGTTATAGTTGGTGGCTTAAACCCTCCACCTCATGACTTTTTCTCTGAGCAGGAAAGTCTGCACTCCAGTATCTCAGAGATATCCCTCCCCACCACAGGGCCGTGCTGGGGGTGGGGCTTCCTCTGTTACTGTGTGTACGTCTCTCCTGCTTTTTTTTCGTGGTCTTTTTATTTCTCCTTGTATACAGAGGGTGTTCACTCAGCCCTCAGTTCTTCCTCAAGGTGAATTGCTCTGTGTGTAGGGGTAGATTCAGTGTGGTTGTGGGAGGAGGGGGCTCAGGCTCTTTCTACACTACCGTCTTGGACTCACCTCCTATTTCCTGCTGTCTTCATCTAATAAATCATTTCCTCATGTCAGACCATAATCTTTGAAAACATTCCTAATGGGTTTATACTATGATTGTCATATGACTAAATATTGTCTTATTGATAAAGATTTATGGTTTTTTTTTCAGCTTCTTTCTAATTTAAATTAGACTGTAAGCCTTATCAAGTCAGGGAATATTTATCTTGTTCATGATTCTATCTTCAGTGCTGATTGTTTTCTTAAGTTAGAATCTAAGAAGAGCTCTTACTAGGTTTAAAGGTATAAAGTTTTTGAAGGTTTTTGATAATTTATTTTCAAGTTTTTCTTTGTTCAGAATAAGAAACAAGGATGTAACAATGAGGAGGTGCTTGCTGTACTAGGCCATGAACTGGGACACTGGAAGTTGGGGCATACAGTCAAAAATATCATCATTAGCCAGGTAAGTTTGAAATGACAATTCTCTTTTGTTAGTCAAATTAGAAGGCATGAGAGGTCATGTAGTAAAGAGGTTAAGACAGACTCTGTAGCCAGGCTACCCAGCTTTGCATCATGGCTCCCTGACTTACTATCAGTGTGACCTCAGGCAAGTTCCTTAACCTCTTCCTGCCTCCATTTCCTGTTGAATGATAGGACCTTATAGGACTGATGTAAGAATCAAATGAGTTAATAGATGTAAGGAGTTTGGAATAGTACCTGGAATGTCGTAGGTACTATATAAATGTTTATTGTTATCATCATAATTGTCATTACCTCCATAGTCACTCAGCTATAAGAACTTTGAAGATCAGAAGGCATGAGCCTAGATAAGTTGGACATTAAAATACTTTCTTAAAAATGTTTTTCTCATTTCAAAGTCATTATACACCCACGGAAAAGAAGTTGGAAAATGTACATATAAAGAAGAAGATAACAATTCCTATAACATTCCTCTGGGTATTAATATCTATAAACCAACAGAGGACTACAGTTTTCAGGCTTGGACAGAATAGCACTATATCTTGTTGATTTAGTTCTGAGCATATGTGGCCTAAACTGAGTCTTAAGTAAGTCTTTGTACCTTTCTAAAAGGCCCTCTGGTTCTGGGTGATGGCTCACACAGGAAGACTTGTGAACCCTTGTAAGAGCTTTCCCCTTGTCTTACATCTTTAGGTACAAAAATGAGTTCCTTGGCTTGAAGCTATGGTTTATGGATACATGACAGTGAGTAAGACATTTTAAGTCAGTCCAAATCCAAGTTCAAAGTAAGCATTCAGTCCTAATAAAGAAAATCAGTGCCCCTTTCATGAAGGAAGGGGTCCAATGGATCACCTACCATAAAGTGGTGGGCTGGTCCCTGAGGCACCTTATCAGAGATGGGGTAGATTGCCTCTTTTGATATCGTAAGCACTTGCAAGAGCCAGTATGGGAGATATCTGTGTTGTTGACTAATGCACTGACTCCATCCCTGTGACCTCAGCCACTTTGTTCATGAGCCCCTTGACCAAGTCCCCAAGTGTTTGGGGAAAGAGACTGGCTAACATCCACAGAGTAGGTATCTTCTCCACCTTGCCAAGAAGAACTTCCTCTTCTGTGGGCTCTTGGTGAATATTCACATTAGACCAAAGTATACTCTGGGCTAATTTTGGAAGTTTTTCTGTATACCTCCTTTCCAACTATCCTTGTGAGCAATCCTCTACTTTGTTCCTTTACTTTGATCATTCAGCCAAACCATTTTTTGCTCACCGCCAATGAACTGGTATGTATATCCTCAGCTCAGGACCTCTCTCCTTCCAGACTGAGTGGACAATGAGATTTACTACTCAAAGTTCCCCTCATTGAGAGTGTTTGCTTTTACCAGTCTTCTAGGACCATCTCATAGTGGTTCAGTAATGCCACAACAGTCTACTTTCAGATGGTGCCAGCATATTGTATTAAGTTATTTGTAAAATAGGCTCAAAATTTTCCTTGTCAGTTGAATTCCTCATGAGACAGGGTTGATTGAGGGGTGGCAGAGTGGCAGAAGTTGGCATACTAGGAGGATGAGCCGCCTGCTCATTTAACTTACTTCTGCCTTCATGTTTTCGTTTGTTCCCAATCCCATGTGTACCACTTACATCTGATGTTGGGAGTGTTTTAGGACAGACCAATTTCCTGTCTAGGTGGATCAACATAACATCCAGTTCAGAAGGAGCAACTCAGTTGCAGGATCATGGGGTCCCATGGTCAGGAATCAGTCTCTAGTAGGGCCCAGTAGCAAACCAAAAGTTGTTTTTCAGAAGGATAGAGTTATTTGACAAAAGTGGTATGCATAGCTCATAACTCTAGGGGCCTTGATTGTAAATGAAGTTTCCTGTTGGAGCTTGTCATACTGGATATACTGAGTCATAAGGACTGAGTGGCTTGCACTTTATCCAGGGCCAGCTGGCAAGCCTTTTTATGCTCTGAGCCCTACTTCAAGCTGGCAGCTTTTTAAATGACCTGATAAATGGTCTGGAGCAGCATAGGTATATGTGGCCTCCAAGACCTTGATCTGCTAAGGGAAAAGAATGGTATTTGTTCTCCAACTTTATTCCAATATCCTTTACTCATATTTTGGTACAGACTTTTGATTTTTTGATTTTCTCTTTTGATAAAGATAGATCTTTTTCCTTGGATCTAACTGTGCTGTACAGTGGTCCTCAAGGGAAGCCTTTTTCCTTGGAGCCTCCACATTGAGGTCAGGTGGGAGGCCTTGTGTCTGATTACAGTCAAGTACAAACAAAGCTAGAATCCTTTCTAGTAGTTTAACTTTTTACCTTAAGAAAATATTCCATTGTTGTTGACCACTTTAAACCTTCAGTCTTAGGAGGCTCCACTTAAGCCTTGTCCTTATAGAAAAATACACATTTTTTATGTTTAGGAAAATTTCATTTTCCTTCCTAGAATATAAGTTAAACTATAAAACTACCTAAAAACTTCCTGTGATTACACTAACACCATTCTTAAAATCACACCATGATGTCCTATTCTACTTTTTTGGTATTTCTGACCCCGCAAATGAAATCACCTCAAAAATAACATAGAAATTTTGTGTCCCTCTTTGTAGGTGAATTCTTTCCTGTGTTTTTTCTTGTTTGCTGCATTAATTGGTCGAAAGGAGCTTTTTGCTGCATTTGGTTTTTATGACAGCCATCCCACTCTAATTGGACTGTTGATCATTTTCCAGTTTATTTTTTCACCTTACAATGAGGTAATGTATAATCTGTAAAACTATATCACATATGCCCTGGCATTTCAAATCTAGAATCTTTAGGGCAGTGAAAAAAGAAAGAAACAAAACTATAATTTAACAAGTAGGTGAAACTAAGTCTTTTAGTTCCTTGATTTACCAGCCAGAATAAGGAAGTAGCAGAAAACCCAAGCCCAAATAAATGCTTGAATATTGTTAGGGGGAAAAAATTGTGGGGAAGTAGACTTAAGTGGTGAAAAGCTTGATATATAACATGTACCTCAGAGACTTGGTAGATGGAGCCATCAGCTATTGGAATATACTTTGTCCTAAATCACCAATTCTAGGTTGTTATGTCCGTTTTCACCAATGCTTGGGTAAAAATCTTCTGTGTGAGGGGACAAAACAAATACTAATTGAGTATATGTGTGGCTAACTAAGGGAAGCTGTATGACTGTTCCTTTGATTGTGTTCTCTGACCACCTGCTTCAAAATAGCCTTAGGGTCCCACCTCAGACTATCTAAATCAAAATTGGGTGTGTTATGGTACATGAAGTTTTAAAGAAGTGCTGCTCTGATTGCTCAGTAGGGAGCTCAATACATATGATAAGACACAACTTAACCAGACTGTATATTAACAGATGTGGTGATGGCAAAATGTCATATTTAATAAGGCTTCCAAATTAAATCAAGAAATAATATTGAGTATTTTGAGATATCCCCATTCAGAAGAATTCTTTCTTAGAACAGATTGTAGAGTTAAGATTTTAAGATGAGCTAAATGAATCCTATTTCTCTATCAAAAAGGGAGAGGGGGAGTTAGGCACTAAGAAAGAAAAATGGAGAGGAATAAATATTTGCATAGTGTTGTCCATAGAAACTAAACATAATTTTCCAGAGAACTGAGATCTATTAATCTTTAAATTATAGATGTTTTTATTATTTTACTAAAAATGCTTATAAAATGTCTTGTGCAGTTTGTTACTGATTAGGGGGGTTATAGAACACCATTTAGTGATAGTTGTCATTTCTGTCTTCTGTCACAATTCAGGAATGCCTTAAGGAGCTGAGCTGTGTATATTACTATTGACCCTACACTGCTCTGCTTTTTAAGCAGTTGGGCTACTTATTTATTTAACTAATTTTCTTGTCTCTTCCTTCACTGTCAGGCTGATAATCCTTGCTACTGTCAATGCGACTTTCTGTTACAGTCATTATCTTTCTAATCTTCTCTTTAACCTACCATAGACTGGGAAATGAGATAATCAAACTCAGTAAGTAACTGTTACTAGAGTCTGACTGAGTGGAAGGGTCCATTCCACATAGAGGCCACATAGGCAATGTCAGTGGTTTTCCTTTGTGGCATCTGACTGGGCTGCTCTTCGGGTTTTCTGTTTTGCTTGTTTCCTTATATTGAGTAGTTAAGTTTAACTTCAAAAAATGTCTAAATAAATGTGGGGTAGTAGAGTAATTGGAAATGTGATTAATCCACAGAGATATTAGCAACTGTTTAAAAAATCCTGGAGAGCCCAGACTAGATATTTAAACAAAAGATCTTTTGTTTAATGTCAGCATGTAAGAGGGAAAAACAGGAAAGAGATATTTTTTTGGGGAAAATGGGGAAATTACCCTATGAAGAAGAGTTTGGAAACCTGCAGCAGAGCAGATAGGTGCAGGTGAATATCTGCTTATGTTTTTATTTATGTGTTACAATGAGATTCAAAGTAAGTTTGCCTGGAACACTTAAAATCAGGAGATAAATAGCTAGGGACCAGGTAATGATCCTATCCCAAAAAAGTTATTCAAGATTTGGAAAGAAATTTCAGGCAGAATTCATATATTAGTTTTGAACCTATCTAAGAAGGTGTCAGGAACTCCCAAACTTTATTTTGAAACTGTATTTGCTAGTGACAAAAAGACACTTTTTAAAAAACTTTTGTTTGTTTGTTTTAATGCTGAGGTACTTCATAAGAAATAGAATCCATGTCATTTGACCTGTGGTATCTCAGTCTGCAAAGAAATTCTTTTCCCCTCAGAAATGGATATTTTCAAAGGAGATTTGTCCCCTTAGAAATGGTCACATTCAGAGATTGGATATTTATTCTGGCAGTGGTAGGTACCGTAGCTCAGAACATTTTAGAAAATTCAGTTTTGAGATTGCCGTCAGAGGCGGTAGCATATTTTTTATATCCTCAGTGAAGACTGTCGTTATCCTTTAAAGGTAGAATCAATGAACAAAAAAAATTTTTTTAAAGAGACATGAAGAGTTTGAATGTAAATCACCGCAAGTGAACTCTGACTCTGAGCAAGGTGGTGTGCGTGACCCTAGGAGTCACAGAGAATTTCAGCACTTCCACCTTCCAGCTGTATAACCTCGAACATGTTCTCTAACTTCTCTGAACTTACCTTCCTCATCTGTAAGACAGGAGTAAGAGTAATTATCTTTTAGGGTTACTTGAGAGTAAAGTGCCTTAGCTTAGGGCCTGGTACATGGCAGATCCTCAAAAATTAGTATACTTGGTAAGAGTAACACTCATTTGGATATGTATCTGTTACTGTTCTGTTTGCTTGGGGGAAAAGGTTTGATTTGTAATAATTCCCCACCCTAGGTTCCCTAGTTAACTAGTGATCTTTCTTTTTTGGCCTGCTCTTTCTCTTATCCTGAGCTGAACTTCCTATAAAGTCCTAGCTCATGAAACCTTCGGTGACACAAAAGAGGTGAGCAGTGATTTAAAGCTCTTTTATTTACTTTTCAGGTTCTTTCTTTTTGCCTGACAGTCCTAAGCCGCAGGTTTGAGTTTCAAGCTGATGCATTTGCCAAGAAACTTGGGAAGGCCAAAGACTTATATTCTGCTTTAATCAAACTAAACAAAGATAACTTGGGATTCCCTGTTTCTGACTGGCTGTTTTCAATGTGGCATTATTCTCATCCTCCACTCCTAGAGAGACTTCAAGCTTTGGAAAACTCAAAACAAGACTGAGTTGCCAGGGGTCGCAACTGAAGACATTTCTGATTATTTCTGTCCTGGCAGCATGTTCTGGCTCTTGATGTTTTTAAACTTTTTTTTTTTTAAAGAGAGATTATAAAGTACAGAGAAGCCCAGATTTAAATACATTTAATGTCTCATTTAAAAAATGATTTTAACAATCCATTTCTTAAAGAAAATGCTGGATGAAAGTTTGAGGCTTAATGTTTTTAAAGGCATAGTTATATCTTTAACATCTAATTTACCATCAACTTGTAAAATTACTTGGGAAAATACAGAATTTGTTTTATTTACACACTTATATGGAATCTGCATATAAGGTGTTTGGGAGTATATGTTTAAAGGAGGAACATCACTTCTGAGTATTTTCTGTAAGGCAGAAACAGTGGTCCCCAGTCATTGTGCTCAGACCTCAGTTGAGATTTTTTTACTTCCATGCTGTTATGATCTAACATGGCAATCAGTGTTTTACATAAGGAAGAAAGATAACTGGTAAGGCTGATGTAATTGAAACGAAAGTAGTTAGAAGTATGCTCTTACTGTTCGACCAAATTTCTCTGTTCCTTCATGCTACATACCAATAGGAGTTTGTAATAGTGCTTTGAAGTTAGAAATTATGGATAGAATGTTTTTAATCATTGGGTTTTGTTTTTATTTTTAGGAACATCTCAGTCTATCTTTCCATCCAGTGGGTAACTAGGGATAAACTAGTGTTTTTCAAAACATTCAGCTTTTCCCTCATTTGTACTCTTTTATTCAATAAATAGTGCATCCTTTCACTTAGAAATTGCTATATTGAGCAGATTTTGCTTTTTTAGGTGGAAGAATGTGGGAAGAGTAAGAAATGACATTTCAGGAGACATAAGGATGAAATACTGATGATTCTTTTATGATATTACAGGAAAAAATAGTTTTTCAAGGACAGAAGAATTTCGGTTTTTATTTTTGTAATTTTTATCAGTACATAATAAGTTCTATTTAACCAGGCCTGATTCCATGTTGGAAATTAATGGTTCTTTTAATTAAAAAAATGAATAGTTCTTGATATGAAGATAATTTTTATTTTTAAAACAAATCTCATGAAAGATTTCTTCTCCGGTTTTTAAAGCTGCATGTTTCACTGCCTCAAATCTCTGTCCACATTCTAAATGAGAACTTACTTTGTGCTTAGAGCCACCATGCACTGATAATGCTTACCTTCTGGGTATTTATTCCAAAGTGGGATCAACTGTGCACCCTTGGTATCTGGCCAGAAACTATTTTGCTCAACTGATATTTGGGTGATGTCTTTACATGGAAATATAATAAAAATAAAGATCTAGTTTAGTACTGCATTATTTATTTTCCTAAGGCTAAAGAGGAACAGTCAGTCCTATGATTTTATCCAGCATCCTTAATCTGTGAATTCATGCTGTGATAACTGCCTCTCTTTCCTTCTGTGCCTTTAAATGCAAACTTCAGTTCTGCACAAGTGAAACATTAAAAATTGCCAATGCAGATTGATGTACTTTGTCTTTAATTGACAGAATCTCTGTGTCATTTTTTACCTAGATGTATATTCATTACTCTTGTGGAACTGGGTGCTCTTCATGAAGGATAGGTAGGAACTAGGAGTAGCCCTAACCCTGAGTGAGGTCAGCACCACTCCCGTGCACCCCCTCAGAGGCCTCTGCAGGTGCTCCATTCTGGAAGGTTACCAGTTCTTGCTGATGTTTCCTCAGAAGCTTCCTTTAAAACCACTCCTTGATTTTCATAAGCTCAAATTGTCTTGGGCCTGTCTGGTCTGCTCCAGATGCCTCTTTGGTCTTCTTTAAGTTTGGCAGCAATAATTAGCTTTCTAATGTGTGATTGTTTTGACAGAACCACCTACAGTTCAGGGGAAGGTGTACACAGGCCAGTCAAGGAGGGGAAGAGGTGGCACTCTATATTCTAATATTGGTGGCTATGCAGGAGGCCGAATGAAGTAGATAAGGACTGAGATAAAATAGCATGACCTCAGCAGGGTTGGTCTCTGAATCGGAGGCAGAGTCTCTGTTGTGTGTGTATTTTCCCTTAATCTGACTTGGCCCTTAGCTGAAGACTGAAAGCTACTAAGAAATTCTACCTCTACTTAGGATAGGAGCAAAATTCCTAGGATTGCTTCAGTGATTCAGTACCAGTGATGGCCCCAACTTGCCCTTGACCTTTCTGTTGTCACTGTCACCCCAGTCCTTTCTGCAGTATTCCCCTCCCTGAGGAAGCTGCCTTCCACTTGGTCATTTTCATCAATCCTTTGGATTCTTTTGTACATATATGCTTTATGTAGTTTTGACTTTGGACTGTCTATCATCATTAGTGGAAAGCTTATTTACCAGGTACCACTTGAGACCCTTAAGTTCTGTGCTATATGCTATACAAAGAAAATTACAGAGAACTTGTATCCAAATACTTCTGATTCAAGACCATAGTGATGTGAGCAAGTAACTTGTATGCCTGACTAAGCACAGTTTGGTGGAAGGCAGAAATGATCCATATTGGAATGTGGTAGCCCTATTCAGACAATAAGGATAGGGAAACCTCTGGCTCTTATTATCCAGGATGGTTTCCAGGAAGGAGAATTTCCCTGAACAATTTGACCAGAGACAGATACAAAGATTCCCCTTTGTTTTCTAAAACTTGTGAAACCAGGACAACCCAAACCCACTGAGCAGGATTAAGTGGCACCTCAGATAACAGCCTGTCCCTTCGGGTCAGAGTTCCCTCTGGCTGGATGATGGCTGATAAACAGGGAAGGTACAACTTAAGAGTTAAGACCCAGGACTCTAGAATCCAACATACCACTTCTAGTAAGACCTTAGGTAAGAGATTTGACTGAGCCTTCATTTCTCTATCTGTTTTTTAGTCAGAAAATATTAAGCCCCATCTGTACCAAGCTTTCCTTTAGGTGCCATTAATACTCTAGTGAATAACTGATAGAAAAATCCCCATTTCACAGATTTTACATTCTACTGTTAGGGAGATAGACAGTCAAAATATATAAAACATATTAAATGGTGATACATGTCTTGGAGAAAAAGGAGGGTTGTGGGGTGTGTTGTGGGGGATGTAAGGGTTGCAGGTATAAATCGGGCTGTCATAAAAAGCCGTCACCTAAGGTAATGTTTGAACAAAGATCTGGAGGAAGTGAGTGGGTGATCCTGGGGAAGTAGGTGTTTGGGGGAGGGACATTCTAGGAAGTGGGTAAGGCCTTCAAGTCAAGTGAGCCCAGGGTGGTGGAGAAACACCACAAGGCCAGAATGGCTCGGATGGGGTGTGCTGGGAGGAGGTGATGGGAAATAAACTCAGAGGGGTAGGGATGAGGCAGACTTTACAGGGCATTGTAGGCCATCCGGGGTTTTCCTAGAGTGCAGCAGAAGCCAGTGGAGGGTTTGGGCCAAGATATGACATAGTCTAAGTTTTAACAGGATCACTCTGGCGGCTCTGTTGAGGAACAAGGGTGCAAGCAGGGAGACTAGTATGGAGGCTCTCTCAGTATTTCCAGCAAGAAACAAAAATGATGACTGGGGTGATAGTTGCAGAGGTGGTGAGAAGTGGTTTGATTCTAGACATATTTTGAAGGCTGAGCCAACAGGATTTGCTAATGGATCAGATGAGGGGTATAAGAGAAAAAGTAGAGGATGATTCCAGCATATTTGGCTTAATAACTGAAAGGACAGAGTTGCTAGTAACTGAGATAGAGAAGGGAGAGGATCAGGGGGCATTTTAGAGGAGCAAATCAGGAATTCTGCTGCTTTAGACATGTTATATTTGAGATGCCTGCTAGCTATCTAAGGGGAGATGTTGAGTAGGCAGTTGGATAAATGAATTGAATTAAGGGGAGAGGTCTGGTTTGGGGATGTAGAGATGGAATTTAAAGCCATGTAACTCAATGAAAGCATGAGAGAAGTGAGAGAAAAAGAATTGGCCCCAGGAGCAAGCATGTGGCACTCTGGGTTTTAGACAGTGGGGATGAGAAATCAGCAAAGGACCTGAGGACGGTGTGGTAAGCTAGACACCAAATTAGACGGCCCTCATAAAAAGCAGCAAAAACATGGGACAGTAGCTGTAGGAGGAAGTGGGGTTGAGAGAGGTATTTTATTTTTTAACATGATGAATGGGGATCATACCTGCTTCATCGGGCTGTTGTAAGGATAAAATGAGATTAGTTTGCAGGGTGCTTTGCATAATACCTGCTAATAATAAGAACTCACTAACTAGTTAATAATTGTTAATAATGATATAAATAATTTATCATAATTGCTATGATGTAAATAAAACAAAACAAAGTGCCTAACCTAGCTGGCAGGTGGGATGAGAAGAGGATTGCCAGAGTACATGATTAAGTTTGGAAGAGGAATGGGAATCTTCTAGGTAAAGAAGGGCAAGGGGTGGTATTCCAGGGAACAGCAGGCACAAAAACATGACAACTTGGGCTGCTTTAGGAATTGCAAGAGTTAGGAGTGAGAAGTGAGGCTAGAGGAAGATGGGCCAGGTCCAAGAGGTGTCAGTGCCATAGCATATGGATATTACCACGAGTAATACAGGCATTCCTGCAGCTCACATATATTAAGTTCCTGCTAAATATCATACATTGCTGTGGGCTCTGAGGGTACAGAGTGAACAGAACAAATTCCCCTGCCTTCATAGAGCTTACATTCTAAGAACAATATTTATAGAATGAATGAATATTTGCTGAACAAATCAATGAAAAGGAGAGATGGACAGGGTTGGAGATGAATCAGCGACTGGGGGTGAAGGCAGAAGGGTTAAAGATGATGCAGGCCAGCACCTCAGGTAACAGCCTCTGCCTCTGCCTTCAGGTCAGAGCTCTCTCTGCTCTGGCTCTCTGGATGGTTGATAAATAGGGAAGGTATAACCTAAGGGTTAAGACCTAGGGCTCTGGGTCTCCACCACCGAGTTCGTAGTGACCTATGAGGCCCTGTAAAGTCTGCCTCAGCCCTAGCCCTCTGCCTTTGTCTCCCACCATCTCCTCTCAGCACACCCATCCGAGCCACTCTGCCTTCTGGTGTTTCTCCACCACACTGGGCTCACTCCAGCCTCAAGGGTTTTCCGTCTTCCAAGGATGTTCTTCTCCCAAACACCTGCTTCCCCAGATCACCCACTCACTTGCTTCAGGTCTTTGTTCAAACATTTCCTTTGAACAAATTCAGTTATAATCAGTGGTATCAACTGTAGTCACCATGTTATTAGATCCTCACCAGGCACTGTTTTATGTGCTGGGAAATGGAGCAGCAAACAAGGGAGACCAAAGTTCCTGCCCTTACGGAGCTTATCTGTTGTATGTTTAATAGTGGGTAAGTGCAAAGGAGAAATAATAAAGCGTGGGGGTAGGTGGGGTATGGATGAACAGATCACTTGTGGGTAAAGACCTGAAACAAGCTCATTGGCCATGATGATATTTGGGGAAAAGCATTGCAAGCAGAGGGCACAACGTGTGTTGTCTGTGGCACAGCATGTTTGAGGAGCAGCGCAGGGCCTGGCATGGCTGGAGTGGAATGTACTAGAGTCTGGGCAGAGACATGAGGTCAGAGAAGCATATGGGAGTCTTGTAAATTGTGGTAAGGATGTGTGTTTTTCTTCAGTGAAATTCAGTCTCCAGCCACTGGGGCCTAGGAATCAGCCCCTTTTAGAGTTGGAGGAAGTGAGTGGGTGATCCTGGGGAAGTAGGTGTTTGGGGGAGGGACATTCTAGGAAGTGGGTAAGGCCTTCAAGTCAAGTGAGCCCAGGGTGGTGGAGAAACACCACAAGGCCAGAATGGCTCGGATGGGGTGTGCTGGGAGGAGGTGATGGGAAATAAACTCAGAGGGGTAGGGATGAGGCAGACTTTACAGGGCATTGTAGGCCATCCGGGGTTTTCCTAGAGTGCAGCAGAAGCCAGTGGAGGGTTTGGGCCAAGATATGACATAGTCTAAGTTTTAACAGGATCACTCTGGCGGCTCTGTTGAGGAACAAGGGTGCAAGCAGGGAGACTAGTATGGAGGCTCTCTCAGTATTTCCAGCAAGAAACAAAAATGATGACTGGGGTGATAGTTGCAGAGGTGGTGAGAAGTGGTTTGATTCTAGACATATTTTGAAGGCTGAGCCAACAGGATTTGCTAATGGATCAGATGAGGGGTATAAGAGAAAAAGTAGAGGATGATTCCAGCATATTTGGCTTAATAACTGAAAGGACAGAGTTGCTAGTAACTGAGATAGAGAAGGGAGAGGATCAGGGGGCATTTTAGAGGAGCAAATCAGGAATTCTGCTGCTTTAGACATGTTATATTTGAGATGCCTGCTAGCTATCTAAGGGGAGATGTTGAGTAGGCAGTTGGATAAATGAATTGAATTAAGGGGAGAGGTCTGGTTTGGGGATGTAGAGATGGAATTTAAAGCCATGTAACTCAATGAAAGCATGAGAGAAGTGAGAGAAAAAGAATTGGCCCCAGGAGCAAGCATGTGGCACTCTGGGTTTTAGACAGTGG